AGGGAGGGAGGGAGGGAGGGAGGGAGGGAGGACTCAAACACTCCTTCATATGTACAGATACAGACACAAATATAAACACACACAAATGCAACTAGAAGGGTCCTACAAGTTCAAATCGGATGAGGGGAGAAAAGGGACTACTCTGAAATATGGTCTTTCTATTGCCTCTGACATATTCTGACCCTACTCCATAAAAGGAACAGAAGGGCCTTCTGATGATGAATTTGACTAATGAAAATAACGACTTTCAACATAGCATGTCCTGTGTCCGCTTTTCTCTTTTATTATTAATAAAACCCACTTTTGTTCCATCTCATCTTTTCATTCTCTAACAAGAACACTGACAAATGAAGTTGTATTACAACTTTCATTAATTTCCCCTATTTGATTTACATTTAGGAAAACATTTTTACCTCTTCAGCTGAAAGAAGTTTCTCTCTTGAGAAACAATGACATATACACTTAAATTGAGAAAAATAAATTATGCCTTGTTTCTCTAGGAAGCAGAATGATTAATGTACTGGATTTTTTTAAATAACTGGTTACTTTTTATCCTGTCTTAAAATATTATGTTAATTCTGAACTCTTACCTCTCCCATGAAAGGATACCATTATTTTCTATGGTAATTAGAATCTACCACTGTTCTTCTTAAATACTTAGACTTACATTAAAAGGACCCATCTAGGCAGTCCAGGGATATAATTCAGTGGCAGAGCACTTTGCTAGCATGCAAAAGCCCTGCACTTAATTCCTAGCACCATAGCCAACTACATATAGATATAAATATAGATATGGGGATATAGGTAGATTAAACAAGCACATACACACATACACTTTTTTAGATAAGTACATACCTCATCTACAAAGTTAATAGCATCAAACCAGTCTTGAAGAGCTTCTAGGCAATATCTTACAACATTTCGTGTATATTCTTGCGTTTCCTGAAAAAATAATTTATGTCAGTTTTGTAGTATATAGCCACCTACACTCTCAACAGTAAATTATATGTAATACATAGTTACATAATAGTAAACGTCAATTATTTTCAAGATAATCACTATATTTGCTATTTCAAGAAATTAAGAACAATAACTAGTAACAAATACAAAAATTAAAGAACTTGATGTGTATTCTTTTATATATCACAGAAAAGATTTTAAGTACAGTTAAGTCTAGTTCCATTTCAAGAGATACCGCCCCCAAATTATATAAATTCCTTAAAGCTATAGTTTAATAAATCTAGTCTCCCTTGGGTTGATGAAAAAGTACTAGAAGCCGGGTGCTGGTGGCTCACGCCTGTAATCCTACCTACTCAGGAGGCTGAGATTTGAGGATCATGTTCAAAGCCAGCCTGGGCAGAAAAGTCCATGAGACTCTTATCTCCAATAAACCACTCAAAAACCAGAAGTGACACTGTAGCTCAAGTGACAGAGCGCTAGCCTTGAGCACAAAGAGACTCAAGAACAGCTGCCCAGGCCCTGAGTTCAAGCCCCAGGACTTATCCAAAAGAAAAACCACAGAATGAATTAACACCCCTGCAACACAATTAATTCTTGAAAACATTACACTAAAAACAGAAGACAAACACAAAAGGCCACATATGATTACATTGATATGAAATAGTTACAGTCTATGAATCACTAGATTCATAGAAAGAAAGTAAATGGGTGATCTTTCAGGATATATGAGAATGTTAGAACTGAGAGATTTGTGATTCCCTTTGGGGATGAGAGAAATGTTCTGAAATTAATAATTGTACAACTCTGGGAATACAATATAAGCCATTGAATTATATACCTCAAAATGGTAAGAACAGCAGGGCACTGATGGCTCATGCCTGTAATCAAAGCTACTCAGAAGCTGAGATTTGGGGCTGGGAAGATGGTTCAGTGGTAGAGTTCTTGCCTTGCATGCATAAGGCCCTAGGTTTGATTCCTCAGCACCACATAAGCAGAAAAAGCCAGAAGTAGAGTTGTGGCTCAAGTGGTAGAGCATTAGACTTGAGCTGAAGAGCGAAGAGACAGTGCCCAGGCCCAGAGTTCAGGCCCCACGACCGACAAAAAAAAAAAAAGCTGAGATTTGAAGATCAGGGTCAAAGCTAATCCAGGCAGTAAAGTCTATGAGACTCTAATCTCCAATTAACCACCAAAAACTGGAAGTAAAGCTGTGGTAGAGTGTTAGACTTGAGCAAAAGGGCTCAGGACAGCACCCACACCCTGAGTTCCAGCCTGAGACCAGCTCAAAAGAGAAAGAGAGAGAGAGAAAGAGAGAGAGAGAAGAAAAGGTTAAAATAGCGAATAATGTAATTTTAAGGGTATGTTGGGGCAAAACAACAGAATCAAACAGTTTTAATTCATCAGCTCTCTATATAATCTGTACCTTTAAAAAGAAAGAAAGAAAAAGCTGAGTCTCATATCCATTTCTTTTTTCCCCAAATCAAATTTCACTATGTAGTACAGACTGGATCAAACTCATAATCTTCTTGCCTCAGCCTCATACCATTCCAAGCTCCCACATTCATTCTTGATTTCTTTATCCTGCTCATCTCCACATCTTAGCATTTCTTCCATAACATTTTCCTAAACTCAGGTCTATTTTGCTGCAACCATCTAGCCCAAAAATCAAGTATCTAGTTACTTTGCCACTAGTCTCTTTCAGTCTATCCTGTACAAGAGTTAGCCTTACAAAAATACTAATTTACACTCTGATCCCTGTCTCCCACTGAAAAATAAAATTTAATTTACATGCTTCCATGAATAATCTGTCTTAACCAAACTAAAGTAACAAGTAACTCATGGATAAAAGTTTTGAAAACCAAATATTCTCCTTTTCAAGGTTTTGGGCATTGGAGTTCCCTTATATACTCACAACACAAACATAAACTGGTACAATTCTTTTTTTTCTCTTTTGTTTGTCGCTTGTGGTTTTGAACTCTGGACCTGGGCGCTGTCCCTCAACTCACAGCTCAAGGTGAGCATTCTACCACTTGAGCCACACCGCCACTTCTGGTTTTCTGTTGGTTTATTGAAGAGTCTCACAAACTTTCCTACCTGGGCTTTGAATTGTGATCCTCAGATCTCAGCCTCCTGAGTAGCTAGGATTACACCTATGAGTCACTGGCACCCAGCAGGTACAACTCTTATGGAGAACAATTTCACAATTAGGTATCATGGAATGTTTTAAAATATTACTAGAGATCATTTTAAAATAAAATATTACTAATAATTCCATTTCCAAATACAGCATATTTTTAAACTCTTTCAGATTACTTCTTTTCCATCTTCCTATTATCATCCCTACCAAAAACAAAAAAATTGAACACACATTATTTTTGTAACATTTAGCAAATGTTGAGTCTTGGTTTTTCTATCAGTAAAGATATGCCTACTAATATGTACCTCCTAATACTGCTATAAAGACACAAATAAAATGATGTACATAAAATTTTCTATGTTGTAGCCTAGCCCATACCTTAGGAAGTAGTTAAGTTCTACCAGAGTCAAGACTTCAACTTCTATTTAGCAGTAAACAAAATTGCCACTAGATAGAGATTTTATAGCCTATCTCTTTCCCTTAGAAAGCAGAAATTAAAATTCTAGAAATACATCAACCCTTTATTGAGTCCATCTGTTAGTAATCCAATACTGAAAGTCTGATGTCCTGCCAACTTATCCGAGTAGCATTTCTTTTTTTAACAAGTCCTTAATATTTCTAAGGATCCTATAGCATTCAAGGCAACATAAGTGTGAAGTTTCCTTTCACATTAATTCTTTTAGTTTTGTTTTATAGTGAGAGAGAGACAGCTCTACAGTATTTCTTCTAGTTTGTACTTGTAAAATCTGTCAGCACTGTTGTTTAAAAGCTCTGGAAATTCTTGCTAAAATAAATAAGCATTCAACTCCTTTGTACAACTAAAGATAATAAAAATATAATTTAGAAAGGTAAGTATGCAAAGTGGTAAAGAGCACTGTATCAACAGATACATCAACAGATTTGATTTCAAATTCGACTTCCATCTGAAACTCTGTTAACTTGGGAATCTATCTAACTTCTGAAAGAGATGAGGTTGTACACAACATCACAATATGAAATACATCTAATCCTTGTGCAATAAAGATTATAAAAGACTTATAACATGTAAAGTGCCAAACACAATGCCTGGCATAAAGTAGTATTCATCAAGGGAACCTCATATCTATGAACAAGACAGATCTTTTTCTGAGAAATTACTCCCACAGATAGTGTCAGGACAATATTAGTCTTTTTTCATTGACCTCTTCATTTCCGAAGGAAACCATAGCATATTACAATTCAACCCTTCAGAGCTGAAAAATACATCACTGCCTGGAAACAATAATTTCTCACTCTCATAGAGATGAAAATAATCACAGCTTCACCATCCAAATCCTTCAATGCATAATGGTTAGAATCTTCCTGAAACAGTGATCTATTTACATAAATATCACATTAATACACTCTCCTGGATCACTGTTCTCTGCTGGCTTACAAGACACCTCATTCTTCTGGTTTTACTCCTCTCCTTCTCCCTGACATTTAATTTGGAGTATTTTACATGTCTATTCTCTCCCTCCTTGACCTCATCCAATAGACACCATCTCTGTCCTCAAAGGTCTAGAATTCATAACTGCAGTCCAGATGTCTCTTCAAAGCATTAATTCATACATCAATTGTATGAGCCTGCTAATTCTGCTGCCAAACTATATCTTCTGTATGCAAAATAGATCGTCTTTTGTATATAACATGTTTAGAGCCTATGTTTAGAATTCTGTGTTTAGACTATCACCATGGCACTTCTTAAATTAACAATGCTGTGTATTTGCTTAGTATGATATGATCATTTTGATTCAATGGAATTATCAACTTATTATCACAGATGCTTGATTTCTATAGTTAGTTAAAATCTGGGGCTGGGAAGGTGGCTCAGTGGTAGAGCGCTTGCCTTGCATGCTTGAGGCCCTGGGTTCAATTCCTCCGCACCACATAAGCAGGAAAAAAAAAGCCAGAGGTGGCGCTGTGGCTCAAGTGGGAGAGTGCTAGCCTTGAGCTGAAGAGCTGAGGGATAGCACCCAGGCCCAGAGTTCAGGCGCCACCACTGGACCAAAAAAATAAATAAAATAAAATCTGTTATTTTAGAAATTTTGAAATACAAATTATTAACAACTATGGTCACTATGCTATGCAGTAGATCTCAAAAACTTATTTCTCTGGTATAGTTGAAACTTTGTATTCTTTCATCAAAATTTTCCCATTTCACTGGGTGTTAGTGGCTTTCAGCTATAATCCTAGCTAAAGAGGCTGATATGTGAGGGTCACTGTTCAAAGCCAGCCCTGGCAGAAAAGTCCGTAAGACTCTTATCTCCAATTAACCACCAGGAAGCCTGAGTGGAGCTTTGACCCAAGTGGGATAAAAATCACTAGCCTTTAGCATTAAAAAAAAAAAAATACACTACAGGGACAGCTAAGACCCTGAGTTCAAGCCTGAAGACTAGCACATGTGCGCGCACGCACGCACACACACACACACACACACACACACACACACGAAATCTTCCCATCTCCCATATTCCCAGTTACCTCCCACTTCTATAAGCCTGTTTTTTTAGATTCAAATGTTTGTTAAAGGCTATTGTTGTTACTCAGTCTTTTCCTCAATGCTAGGGATGAAATCCAGGACTTGTATATACTAAACATGTGATCTACCACTAAGCTCTATCTTCTAAACATTTCAGTCTTGCTACTTTGGTCTCCCTCAACCCAGTTTTCAACTGCTATCAAAAAAGATCATTTAGGTGTAAATCAGATCACATAAAACTTTGTTTTAAAATACTCATGGATTTACATTTTCTTTTTTTTTTTTTTGGGTCCGGTCATGGGGCCTGAACTCTGGGCCTGGGCGCTGTCCCTCAGCTCTTCAGCTCAAGGCTAGCGCTCTACCACTTGAGCCACAGCACCACTTCCAGCTTTTTCTTCTTTTTGCTTATGTGGTGCTGAGGAATCAAACTCAGGGCCTCAGGCATGCAAGGCAAGCGCTCTACCACTGAGCCACCTTCCCAGCCCATCATGGATTTACATTTTTAAAAAATTTAGACTTAAAATGATCTATAAGGACCTGGGCTACAATCTTACCCTTACTATCTCTTTAACACCATCTTTTTATCTTTCATTTTTCTACTAGAAGTAGACTATACTATTCTACCTGGACCTCTGCCACCAATAGCCCTATTTCTATCCTTCTATTCTTCACATAGCTGGCTTTTTCATATTCTTCCCTCAGAAAGGCCTCCTCAGATTCACCTAATTTCTCTATCTCATAACAACTTGTTCTTTTTCTACAGACCACATATAAATCTATGTGTATACTTAAGGTCTATCTCCCTTATTAAACTGTTCCATGAAAATAATCACTACATATATTTGGCCCTAAACCTAAACGTCTAGATAGTATGTAACAAAGAACAGCATTCACAAAATATTTTTTTACTAAATAACAAAACAATCCTCATTTTTTTTTTGGGGGGAAGGGGGTCTAGTCGTGGGCCTGAACTCTGGGCCTGGAGCTGTCCCTCAGCTCTTCAGCTCAAGGCTAGCACTCTACCACTTGAGCCACAGCGCCACTTCCAGCTTTTTTTTTCTGCTTATGTGGTGCTGAGGAATTGAACCCAGGGCCTCAAGCATGCAAGGCAAGCCACCTTCCCAGTCCCAAAACAATCCTCATATTATATAACCATTCTTTTAATAAAAATACTACAGTAGAGATTAAGCAAAGTAAAATGAAAACACCAAGTGAAATCAACACAGCTGACTAAAGGAATTTAGTTAAAATATAAAGAAACCAAATTTGATTGAAGAACTTAAAATTGGGAGATTACCTATCAGCTGATTATTGTGAGTATAATTTTTGAAAAGCTAACTCTGAATATTCTTCATTCTGGCTAAAATCACTGTAAGTCAAATGAATCAAAATCTCAAGTAGTAGTGTTTAGAGTTTGGGCTTTTTTGGTGGTTGTGTGTGTTTTTTTGTTTTGTTAGCCAAGGGGCTTGAACTCAGAACCTAGGTGCTGTATCTAAGCTCCTTTTGCTGAAGGCTAGCACTATACCACTTTGAGCCACAGTTCCATTTCCGGTTTTCTGGTGATTATTTAGAGATAAAGAGTCTCACAGACTTTCCTGCTCAAGCTGACTTTGAACTACCATCCTCAGCATTTAGCCTATTAATTAACTAGGGCTAAAGGCATTGAGCTGGCTAGATTTTATTGTTTTCAGTTTTGTTTTGCTTTGTTTTGTAGTGGGTCGTGAAGCTTGAACTAAGAGCCTAGGTACTATCCCTGAGCTTCTTTGCTTAAGGCTAGCACTTACCACTTTGAATCACAGTGCCACTTTCAGTTTTTTGGTGGTTAACTGGAGATAAGAATCTAACAAAATTTCTTGCCCAGGCTGGCTATGAACCACAATCCTCAAATCTCAGCCTCCTAAGTGCTAAACTTACAGGTATGAACCACCAATGTCCCAGTAGCATTTGATTATTCAAAGATAATTCTCATGCAAAAGAAGCACTGAGCTAAGAAAAGAAAATAAGAGTGCAGGGGCTTGGAGGCATGGCTCAATTGGTAGAGCAACACTCAATGAGCAAAAGTGTCAGGTACCAAGTTCAAGTGCTGGTCTTAGACAAAAATAAAAATAAAATTATAGAGCAGGGGCTGGGAAGGTGGCTCAGTGGTAGAGTGCTTGCCTTGCATTCATGAGGCCCTGGGTTCGATTCCTCAGCACCACATAAAAAAAAAAGAAAAAGAAAAAAGCCGGAAGTGGCGCTATGACTCCAGTGGTAGAGCACTAGCCTTAAGCTGAAGAGCTGAGGGACAGCATCCAGGCCCAGAGTTCAGGCCTCATGACCGGACCCCAAAAAAAAAAAAAATTATAGAGCATATGCCAAAATAGGCGGATAAGTTGAACAAAATCACAGGAATCAATAAAGGACATTGCCTCCTGAGGAATAATCAAGGCTTAGGAAGAGTACAAGAAGAATTATTAAGATAAATTGAATGTAAATTCTGGAGGTCATAAATATAAATACAGATTCATCTTGTAGACAGATGAAAACCTGAATGACTTTTTTTTTTCTTTTTTTTCTTTTTTTTTTTTTTTTGTCATAGGGCTTGAACTCTGAGCCTGGGTGCTGTCCTCAGCTCTTCAACTCAAGGCAAATGCTCTACCACTTGAGACACAGTGTCACTTCTGGTTGTCCAGTGGTTTATTGGAGATAAGAGTCTCATGGACTTTTCCTGCCTGGGCTGGCTTTGAACGTGATCCTCAGATCTCAGCCTCCTGAGCAGCTAGGATTACAGGCGTGAACCAACAGCACCCAGCTAACCTGAATAATTTTTAAGCAAAGGAGAGAAAGGAAGAGCTCAGGAAAGTAACTTTAATATTAGGATATGTAGATTACAGTAGAAAAACTCTAATAACCTAGATTTTTTTAATATAAAGAAATAAAGACCAGGAAGAAAGAAGAGGAAAAGGGAGACATTTCTAAAACAGAAGAGAGAATTGATAGTATCTGATTATAAGATGCTCATGGGTAGTAGAGCAAGGAAAGGAGATTTCTTGATTAGACAAGAATACAAAGGAGCCAGTCACCAGTGGCTCACGTCTGCAATCCTAGCTATTCAGGACACTGAGTTCTGAAAAATCACCAGAGCCAACCCAGCCAGACCAATCCAAGACTTCCCCACCACACCCCACCCCATCCCCACCCACCCCCCCGCAAAGGCTAGTTGTGCTCTACCATTTGAGCCACAATGCAACTTTTGGCTTTTCTAACTAGTTTATTGGAGATAAGAGTTTCATGGAGTTTATTGCCTAGGCTGGCTTCAAACTTCGATCCTCAGATCTCAGCTTCCTCAGTAGCTAGTATAGGCATAATTAATTGGTGCCCAGCACAAATCCAAGAATTTCATCTCAGACTTTTATCTCAACCAGCAAAAAAAGTCAGAAATGGTGGTATGGCACAAGTGGTGGATGTCACACTTGAATGAGAAAGCTAAGCTAGAGTAGGAGGTTCTGAGTTTAAGCCCAGATACCAGAATGCATGCATGCATACATACACACACACACACACATACACACACACATACATACACACATGCAAGCATGGGCACATGCAATGCATGCAAGGAGTTCAGGATGCAGGTCAGTGGTAGAGAGTTTGCTGGGCATACACAAAGCCCTAGTTCAATTCTTAAACCACACACAAAAAAATAAAAAAGAAAGTTAATTAGCAACCTAAGAAAATTCATATATCTACAAGATATACATGAATAAGCCTACTTTGTCTGAAAGTACAAATACACTGAAAAGGTAGACAGGAAAGACTCTCAAAATCACCTGTGAAGAAAGGCTTTGTTGAACCATTTCTAGGTTGTTGTCATTGTTGTTGGGATAGGAAGGGGGGGGACTTTTTTGGTTTTTGTTGCTAGTACTAGAGCTTGAATTCATGGCTTGAGTGCTGTCCCATACTTTTTCCACTCAAGGCTTGTGATCTACCACTCCATCTAGACTTTTTGACGGTTAAAAGGAAATAAGAATCTCATGAACTTTCTTGCGTAGGCTGGCTTAGAGCTCAAATTCTCAGATTTCAGATCTCAGCCTCTTGTATAACTAAGTTATAGGTGTAAATTACCAGTGCCTACTCTGCTTTGTTTATAAAAAAAAAAATTGACTAAAAGTGCAAACAATTCTAAATATGTTAGTCAAGTAATCAATCTAAGTAGAAAGAGGCAGAACCATGACTAGAACCAAGAACGCCAAATTATTCCCATTACAAAATCATAGCCAGCATTCTTACTGGCAGAAGCAAACAGGCTAGACTTCATGGAATCATATGTCAAATCTTAGTCAAGCGTTGGAGGCATAGTTCAAGAGGTAAAGTACAAGGCCATGATTTCAAACCCCAGTAATTCAAAAAAAAAGAAATTTAGGCAAATCCTTATTTTCATAGGGATGGCCCAATGTTTTGGGAACCCATCAAGCCAATGGTTTATTATGTATATCAATAGATGGAAAGTTGTAAGAAATTTAATGCTTGAAAATTTTAAATTTTAAACTTTATTGAGGAATACCTTTATCCCTTAAAAGACAAGAAACATTAGAAAATAGATAATGGGCAAAATGAGACAAAGTAAGAACACTTATGAAGTTCCAAAGACTATTCAAAACAGGAGTAGACTGGAAAGATCTGGTAATATAAATGAATTCCAGCCTTCCCCAAAGTAAAAATTTCCGTCTCAGGTTAGTATCCACAAAGCTAAATTCAATTTGTAATCATCTTTAACACTGCATATTATATGCAAGTAAACATACCCATGCCCTCATATATCTTGTTTTAAACAATTACCTTAAAAGCACAGACAGTGGGGCTGGGAAGGTAGCTCAGTGGTAGAGTGCTTGCCTCGCATACATGAGGCCCTGGGTTCAATTCCTCAGCACCAAATAAACAGAAAAAGCCAGAAGTAGCACTGGTGGCTCAAGTGATAGAGTGCTAGCCTTGAGCTGAAGAGCTCAGGAATAGCACCTAGGCCCAGAGTTCAAGACCCACAACTGAAAAAAAAAGAAAAAAGAAAAAAAAAGAAAGGAAAAAAAAGCACATATTAACAAAAGTACTTCCAACATACCCTAACTTTGCAATGTGACAAAAGTCCCCACATTGGCTGTGCACAGGCCTCAAGTTCAGCAGCAAAAGCAGCATAGTAGGTCTGAGACTCAAATTCCACATGTTCATTTAGTTCTCGCTTGTTTAAGTTCATACCTTGCAAAAATGAAAATACATATATATTTTGTCAAGTGAAATCAATTATTCAAATTAAAATCAAACATTTCTAATTACCCAATACATATTAAGCACACAAACATAAATGACATAATACCTATACAAATAATTTTAAATTGTTAGTTCTTTTTGTGCTTTTGCTTTGTTTTTTTTGTGGTACTAGAGTTTGAACTCAGGAACTTTACATGTGCTAGGAAGACACTCTACCATTTGAGCCACATCCCCAGCACTTTTTGCTTTTTCAGTTGGGGGGGTCCGGTCATGGAGCCTGAACTCTGGGCCTGGGCACTATCCCTCAGTTCTTCAGCTCAAGGCTAGTGCTCTACCATTTGAGCTACAGTGCCACTTCCAGCTTTGTTCTTTTTGCTTATGTGGTGCTGAGGAATCGAACCCAGGGGCTCATGCATGCAAGGCAAGCGCTCTACCACTGAGCCACCTTCCCAGCCCCTCCGTGAGTCTCTTATCTTCAATAAACCATCAGAAGACTGGAAGTGGCACTGTGGCTCAAGTGGTAGAGGGCTAGAATTTGTGATTGTCTCTTATAGAACAAAATTGAATGTCTTGCCACGTGCTGGTGGCTAGTACCTGTAATCCTAGCTTTTCAGGAGTCTGAGATCTGAGGATCAAGGTTAAAAGCCAGCGCAGGCAGGAAAGTCTCTGAAACCCCTACCACCAAATAACCACCTAAAAACTGGAAACAAATCTGTGGCTCAAAGTGGTAGAATGCTAGTCTTGAGCAAAAAAGCTCAGGGACAGTACCCAGGCCTGAATACAAGCCCACAACCAACAAAAAAAAAAGCTGGGTGCCGGCGGCTCAAACCTGTAATCCTAGCTACTCAGGAGGCTGAGATCTGAGGATCACAGTTCAAGGCCAGCCCAGACAGGAAAGTCCATGAGACTCTTATCTCCAATAAAGCACTAGAAAACCAGAAGTGGAGCTGTGGCCCAAATAGTAGCACGCTCGCCTGAGCTGAAGAGCTGAGGGACAGCGCCCAGGCCCAGAGTTCAAGTCCCGTAGCCAAAAAAAAAAGGAGGGGGAGATCTTAAGTTAAGAAAGTAATCATTTAATTTGTGATATTTGAAATTCATGAGCAAGTAAGTCTGTTTTAGAGAACAGACATTATAAATTTCTAGACAAATGATAAATGGCTTGTCATGATACAAGGAAATTACACTTGACTTCCTTTTCAGTAACGTGCTTTTCCTAACCGCTATATTTTTATAAACAACACCAAAGTGTTATGAAGTAACAATTAAAATCTGAATGTTGTGCTATTATTTTTAGCTTTTAGTGGTTTAACATTATGCATATTATAAACCAAAATCATTTTTAAGGTTAAATCCTTACCTTGAAAGAAAGATACGAAGTTCATCCATGTTACTAATAAACCATGATCCTCCAAAAATCTCTTAGCCACACTTTGATGAGAAAGAATATTAATAAAATCACTAACGAGAGGCCAGTAAGTGTTATTCTTCAGTAACGCTTCTCCACAGTTCACCACCACATGTAAACTATTTTCTTCATCTACAAAGGTCACACACAGCCCAAAAACAAATAAACAACTTTTAAAAACCAACTTTACCAATGAAACAGACTATTACTTTATACATTCAGAACACCTAAATTGCAACCATTTAAAACCTTTATGGCTCTAGACATATTATTTAGACTCATTATTTAGAATCAGTTTCCTCATCTTCAAAACAATTTTTTAAAAATGCTAGACATCATAGCTAAAGAAATAGCAACCAAACTAGAAAGACAGCAAACTGGGAAAAAATATTTACCAGCAATATATCAGACAAGGGCCTAATATCTATTATATAGAGGGAACTCAAGAAACTAACCCCTCCCAAACCTAACAAACCAATCATGAAATGGGCAAGGGAGCTGAGGAGAGAGTTCTCAAAAGAAGAGATAAGGGGCTGGGAAGGTGGCTCAGTGGTAGAGCGCTTGCCTTGCATGCCTGAGGCCCTCGGTTCGAGTCCTCAGCACCACATAAGCAAAAAGAAATAAGCCAGAAGTGGCGCTGTAGCTCAAGTGGTAGAGCGCTAGCCTTGAGCTGAAGAGCTGAGGGACAGTGCCCAGCTTTCCCTCAAAAAAAAAAAAAAAAAGAAGAAGAAGAGATAAAAATGGCAAAGAAACACATGAGGAAATGTTCATCATCCCTGGCTGTAAAGGAAATGCAAATAAAAGCAACACTGAGATACCACCTAATCCCAGTCACAATGGCCCACATCCTAAATTCATCTAATTGCTGGCAGGGATGCAGAGAAAGAGGAACCCTACTGCATTGCTGGTAGGAATGGACACTAATACAACCACTTTGGAAAGCAGTCTGGAGGTACCTCAGAAAGCTAAATATAGACCTCCCCTATGACCCAGCCATACCACTCCTAGGCATCTACCCTGAGCAACAGGAACCAGAATACAAAGACACATGCACCTCCATGTTCATTGCAGCACTGATCACAATATCATTATATGGAAACAACCCAGATGCCCCACTACAGATGAGTGGATCCAAAAGTTGTGGTACCTATACACAATGGAATATTATGCAGCCCTTAGAAAGGACAAAATAATGGCATTTTCAGGGAAATGGATGGAACTACAGCAAACCATTTTAAGCAAGGTAAGCCAAAAGCAAAGAGACAAATAGCACATGGTCTCCCTGATATGTGGATGCTAAAGCCAAAATGCAAGGAGATATGACAAAGTAAACAGGACTCAAGAAACAAAGGACTTCCACTCATTTTGTCAATCATTGCTAAATGACTCCATGTTCTTGACCACATATATGGGGTGTGTGTATGTATATATATGTATATGTGTGTGTGTGTGTGTGTATATATATATATATGTGCACATCTGAGGGAAGCTAGGAGGAAGACACAGAATCAGAGGGAAACATACAACAAAGGGGCCTATCAGCTGCACTGGACATTGAGGAAAATGAACTAAGCAACTCAAAGGCAGCGATGGGAAGGAGGAAATGAGAGGCAATGAGGAAATAGCTTACACTAAGCAAAAGGAAAGAAATGTAAATAATCATCTGATGTGGAAGAAATAGTTGTATTGTCAAAGCTCATAGAATTCACAAACTTTCTAGACTATGATAATGGCAATTTCCTTGTGAAGGTTAAAATGTGTTTGTGACTATAACTAAGTATCACTATTTGACAATACTATGAAATATGTGAAATTTATGTAATCACCTAATCTCAATAGAAAAGTATTTTTAAAAAATGCTAGGCATCAGTGGTTCATACCTATAATCCTAGCTACTCAGGAAGCTGAGATCTGAGGATCACAGCTTGAACCCAGTTTGGGAAGAAAAGTCAAGATTGTATTTCCAATTAACCAACAAAAAATAAAGCTGGAGGTGGGACTCAAATTGTAGAGCATGAGCCAAAAAGCTAAGCAAGAGGCTAAGGCACTGAGCTCAAACCCCAATACTGGGGGGTAAAAGGGAAGACACATTATCGAGATGTTGATATAAAGCACAAAAAATACTTTGTCGAGGCTGGGAATATGGCTTAGTGGTAGAGGGCTTGCCTAACATACATGAAACCTGGGGTTCGATTCCTCAGTACCACACACACAGAAAGAGCTGGCAGTGCTGCTGTGGCTCAAGTAGTAGAGTGCTAGCCTTAAGCAAAAGCAGCTCAGGGACAGTGCCCAGGCCTTGAGTTCAAGCCCCAGGACTGGCAAAAAATAAAATAAAATAAATAATATATATATATATGAGAATGAAAATGAAAAGAATGGGTATAATTGTGTTTGAAGTTAAACTAAGTTTAAGGCACATAAGATTCATTTTTATATTATTCTCTAATCAATACTTTCGAATAGCCACTTAGCTGTCAAATTCATTTAAAAAGGCCTCTACTACACTTCTTTACTTTCTACACTTTAAATATGTATATTTATCCATAATATTAACTTACCCAACTCAAGTTTAACAATATATAAGAACAGGATCCACTGGCATTATTTATGCCATTTTTCAATACTTCTCCATGGATGGAAGAGGTTAACTACATAACAAAATAAAGGTGAGAAGCCTTTCTCAAATTACTTATACCTTAGATCTGAAAAGCACTCCATTCCACAACAACTACTGCCACTATAAACTGGTGATGCACTGACATTGATGTGACAGTCCTGAGGGATGTTGAGATTGATAAAAATAAAAACTGGGAACACTGTCCTATTTAAATAGAATCCATATGATGAATAAGCAAAATGCAATTACTCAAAATCATTGTTTTTCTACAACTACTTTAAATAATCACTGTTCTTGTGCAAAACACCTTTAAATCTTTAAAGAAAAAAAAGGGGGGGAAGGGAGGGGAAGGAGACGGATTGGGATTGGGGGGGAGGGGGGAGGCTGGGAAAGGATGTGAAGGGTAAACAAAGGAGGAGGCTGCAATGCTTGGTAAGAAATGTACGCATTATCCTGCCCATGTAATTGTAACTCCTCTGTACAGCATGTTCACAAATAAAATAAAATTTAAATTTAAAAAAAAAAAAGACAATTCAGACTCCTATTTGTACCCAAAGTGGTACTTTCCTTACTACAGATATAAAGCAATGATTCAGTGTTAAATGAATTCCACTCATCACCAAATATTTATTGTCCTTTTGCTTTTGGTATGTTTTTCAGATAGATGTTCTGGCTTTTGGGGGGAGGAAGCGATAGAGGATTTTGAAATCAGCCTCAGACAATAATCCTATCTCTGCCTCCTGGGTAGCTTAGCCCAACTCCTACAGAGAACAAGTTTAATAAAATGATAACATAGACTAAGGTTGATTAAATGAGGTCAGGTATTCTACTCATCCTAAAAATAAAGTGGTGAAATAAACCAAGATTCATATTTTCTCTCCTCCTTTACCCTCTGATTTCCCACACACCTATTACTTTGCTAACATTAAAAGTGAAGGCTTTCACCTGTGCCCAGCTATTTCACAAATTTTCAACCAAAAACTTTAACCATTATTTTGTAACTGTTCTGAAAGATGATATTAGTGAGTAAGTAGAATTCAAAATGTATGTCAGAAGAGCCAAGGTTGTATTCATTATATTATAAAAACTTAAAGTTCTTATTTTTTGTCTATATTTGAACAATCATAAAAATCACAAATGATAAAAAAAACCCTTCTATGTACTTCAAAATTCAAATAAGCTGGGTGCTGATGGCACAATCTGAGGATCATGGTTCAAAGCCAACCCGGACAGGAAAGTCTGTGAGACTTTTATCTCCAAAAAAAAAAAAAAAGTGAAGGCTTTGGGAAAGAAGTGATTAAATAGAGATGAAGAATCCTAGTGGCCTGGGGTACAGGTTAAGTGGCTGAGTTCTTATGGGCCTGGCTTCAATATCTAATATCACAAAAAAAATAAATGTTAAAGTAAAATAAAATGTTGCCTAATAATTTATGAAAATGTTACAGGCTATTTTTGAAATGTTTTTAAATTTTAAAAAGAGATCTTGGGCTGGGAAGGCATGAGGCCCTAGGTTCAATCCCTCAGTACGACATAAGCAGAAAAGGCCGGAAGTGGCACTGTAGCTCAAGTGGTAGAGCACTAGCCTTCAGCTGAAGAGATAAGGGACAGCGCCCCGACCCAGAGTTCAGGCCCTACAATCAACCAAAAAAAGAGAGAACTTGTGGGGCTGGGAATGTGGCTTAGTGGTAGAGTGCTTGCCTAGCATGCATGAAGCCCTGCGTTCAACTCCTCAGTACCACATAAACAGAAAAAGCCAGAAGTGGCTCTATGGCTCAAGTGATAGAGTGCTAGCTTTGAGCAAAAGAGGCTTAGAAACAGTGCCCAGGCCATGAGTTCATGCTTCAGGACTGGGGCAGAGGTGGGGGGGGAGCCTTAAATACATCAACAAGATTATGGTAACAAATTTCTGTATCTCTGTCTCTCTGTCTTGTCTCCCCGCGGGAGGCTCATTCTAATAATGCAAATAAACATAATGCTTTTAGGAAAGCAGTTAAATAAAGTGAAGAAAGAAAGTGAATATATGTTATGAAATGATATGCCATTGCTGTGACAGGGAAAATACTATGAGAAACTTTGAAGGATACTAAAAATAGTTTTATACTAGAAATAATGCAATTTTTTTAACAATGTATCTCACAAGTAGCCACATGAGTCATGGACAACTTTTATAGAGATACTGAGAATTGAACTCAGGGCTTTTTACTTATTAAGTATTCTATCACTTGAGCCATGTCCCCAGTCCTTTTGCTTTTAGTATGTTTTTCAGATAGAATCTCTGACATTTCGGGGGAGGAAGGGGTCAGGGAGATACTGGGTCAGCGTCAGACAGTAATCCTATCTCTGCCTCCTGGGTAGTTTAGCCCAACTCATATAGAGAAGAAGTTTAATAAAATGATAGCATAGATTAAGGTTGATTAACTGAGGTGTGTTAATAAATGATTGAAAGATATAACAACTTTCCCAGGAAAGGTAACTCTTTAAAAAAAAAAAAAAAAAGCCAGGTGCTGCTGGCACATGCCTACAATCCTAGCTACTCGGGAGACTGAGATCTGAGGAATGGGGTTCAAAGACAGCCCACACAGGAAAGTCCATGAGACTCTTATCTTAAAATGACCACCTGAAAACCAGAAGTGGTGCTGTGGCTCAAGTGGTAGAGTGCTCAACTTGAGCTGAAGAGCTCAAGGGCAAATGCTCAGGCCCAGAGTTCAAGCACCATGACCAAAAAAAAGGAGGGGAATGAGCCACACATCTTTTTTGCCAAAGATGCTTCTTCAAGCACCAAAGGCTAATCAAATAAAAGCACACCTAAATTACTTACTGAAGATAACAGACTGTAGGTTCTTTTAAAAGAGCAGATGTTCAGCCAGGCTCGCGCCTGTAATTCTAGCTACTCAAGAGGCTGAGAGGGGCTGGGAAGATGGCTCAGTGGTAGAGCACTTGCCTTGCATGCTCGAGGCCCTGGGTTCGATTCAGCACCACGTAAGAAAAAAGCCAAAAGTGGCGCTGTGGCTCATGTGGTAGAGTGCTAGCCTTGAGCTGAAGAGCCCAGGCCGAGTTCAGGCCCCACGACCGGACCAAAAAAAAAAAAAAAAAAGAGGCTGAGATATGAGGGTCACAGTTCAAAGCTAGTCTGGGCAGAAAAGTCCCTGAGAGACTCTATCTCCATGCTCAAAAAAGTTGGGGGCTGGAAGGTCGCTTTAGTGGTAGAATGCTTGCTTAGCATGCATGATGCCCTGGCGCTGTGGCTCAAGAGGTAAAGTTCGAGCCCCACAACTAACCAAAAAAAAAAAAGCCAAGTGTGATGCTCTGAGTTAAAATCCCACTGCTGGCAAAAGTAAATAAAATAGAGCCAATAATATCCACTTTACAAAATCAAAGATAGTTAAAAGCAACAGTGGATCGAGGCAAGTAGCTTAAGTTACTGTTAAGGTTTGCATTTTAGCTCTAGGTGTCAGTAAATGAATACAGCACTCTAACCATGTACCTGGCTGTGTCACAGTAAATAAATATATACGTATAATATATATATATATATATATATATCAATTACTTAAGGGACAAGAAATCCTTGACTATCACTTACTAGCTGTATAATCTAAGCAAAAGGTCTTTCTGAAATCTCAATGTTTTTATCTCAAAGAGCACAATGCAAGTGCAGAAACTTGGGGCTGGGAAAGTTGCTCAGTGGTAGAGTGCTTGCCTTGCATCCACAAGGTCCTGGGTTCGGTTCCTCAGCACCACATAAGCAGAAAAAGCCAGAAGTGGTGCCATGGCTCAAGTGGTAGAGCACTAGCCTTGAGCTGAAGAGCTGAGGGACAGTGCCCTAGGCTCAGAGTTCAGGCCCCACGACTGACCAAAAAGGAAAAAAAAAAAAATAAGGTGCAGAAACTTAACTGAGAACATATAAATAGGATGAAACACAGTGTCTGGTACATAGCAAATATTCAAATAATATAAATTAAAAGAAGGTAAAGCAAAAGACCACATAGAAATAGCAACAAAAGACTACAGAAATATTATGTTAAGTACTCTCAACCATACATGGGCACAAAAGATTTAAATGGGTTCCACTAAAAGAGATTTATTCCTATATGTAAGTAATGAAAAGTAAAAGCTTATAAAAAATATTCAGGACTAGCTGAGTACCAGTGGCCCACTCTTGTATCCTAATTGCTTAGGAGGATGAGATCTGAGGGTCACAGTTCAAAACCAGTGCAGGTAGTTAAGTCCGTGAGACTCTTATCTCCAATTGACCTCTAAAAAGCCAGGAGTAAAGCAGTGGTTCAAGTGGTAGAGTGCTAGCCTTAAGCAGAAAAGCTCAGGGAGAGTACCTAGGCTCAAAGTTCAAGCCCAGGAATGGCACCAAAAGAAAAAGAAAAGTAAAAACATGTAACAAATTATGAGTTTAAAAAAATTCCTGGGCTGGGAAGGTGGCTCAGTGGTAGAGCTCGTGCCTTGCATGCCTGAGGCCCTGGGTTTGATTCCTCAGCACCACATAAGAAAAAAGCCAGAAGTGGCGCTGTGGCTCAAATGGTAGAGTGCTAGCCTTGAGCTGAAGAGTTGAGGGACGGCACCCAGGCCCATAGTTCAGGCCCCACAACCGGACCCAAAAAAAAAAATTCCTAACAGGGGCTGGAAGGTGGCTCAGTGGTAGATCGCGTGCCTTGCATGCATAAGGCCCTGGGTTTGATTCCTCAGCACCACATAAGCAGAAAAAGCCAGAAGTAGAGCATGGCTCAAGTGGTATAGCACAAGCCTTGAGCTGAAGACTGAGGGACAGTGCCCAGGCCCAGAGTTCTGGCCAAAAAAAAATTCCTAACGAAGAAATGCGTAATAAGATAAACTATATATTAATACTTGCATTTATTAAAAATAAATATTACTATGTATTTTAATGTATACACTGGTATCCATAAATATACTCATATCACAAAAATATAGAAAACACAGCAAAATAATAAAAATAAAAACAAAAAATGTTATTTGTGAATAACAAAATTATAAATGGCCAGCCACTGGCAACTTACACCTATTACTCTAGCTACTCCGAAGATGAAATCTGAGAAACTAAATTCAAAGCTAACTCAGGCAGGAAAGTCCCTAACACTCTTAACTCCAATTAACCAACAAAAGTGGTCTGGATGTCATAATCCTAGCTACTCAGGAGGTTAATATCTGAGAATCATAATTCAAAGCCATCCTGGAAAAGAAAATTTGTAAAATTCTTAGTTTCAATTAACCACCAAAAAGACAGAAGTGGAAATGTGGCTCAAGTAGTACAATACCAACCTTATGCACAAAAGCTCAGGGACAGATTCTGGGATCTTCGTTCAAGCATTAGAACACACACACATACCACTCTCCCCACCCCCACCCCCGAAGCAATCTTGAAGTAGAGTTGTGGCTCAAGTGTTAGAATTCTATAGCAAAACTAAAAACACAAAAAACTAAGGGATAGTGCCCAGGCCCCAAAGTTCAACTCCAGTACTTACACAAAAAGAAAAGAACTATTAGTGATTTGGTTTTCTTTAAACTTCTTATAAATTATCCTAAAAATCTTTTCAATATATGCATTATTTTGACAAAATTTTTAGTTATTTTAAGCATATATTTATAGGACTAATTAATACATTGAATAAAGGCAAGAGAAATAATGAAACTCTTGAGTTTACCTTGCAGTTCACTTTTAATAAGGCAACTTTCCATCATGTATAACAGCACAGTGACCATAATATCCAGTAGCTGACATTCTTCTGTTACCTGTCTGGCTAGCTCTTCATTGCTGAACAACTGAACACTAATATGTACAATTCTGTTAGACATTGTATCTGACTCATGACTTTTCTTCAGTGTTTTCATAATGAAAGCATAATGCTGAACAAACGTTTTTGTAAAAGCAACCTGTAAGATTTTTAAATAAAAAGAAATTAGTTTAACTTTGAATTTTAAAATATTTTTCAATATGTACTACCACGAGCTTATGACAGTATCCAAGATGACTGAAAAACTAATTCAATAATGACAGAAGTCTTAAGTCATATCTCGCCTATTTTAAACACTGCCAAACACCTAATGGTTAAAAAAGTTAATAAGGACTTTAAATTATTTAAGTTTTAAAGCAATTACAAAAACAATGACTTAAACATAAGAAAGAAAGAAAGAAAGAAAGAAAGAAAGAAAGAAAGAAAGAAAGAAAGAAAGAAAGAAAGAAAGAAAGGAAGGAAGGAAGGAAGGAAGGAA